AGGAATCCCCGCCTGTTGGCACAGCTGTGCCCAGACTTGGGCCTTTTCGGTGCCCCTGGCCAGCAGAGCTCTGTCAGTCCCACCCTACCAGGTAGGTCAGAGCAACAGCTATGGAGATTCCCATCCCTTATCGTTGCAAGCATACAATTCTCCCAGTCCTTAATGGTTTTTAATTTAAATCCTCAGCTGGCATCACCGGGCGCAACTCCATTGCCTCCCTGTAAGTGCCTCTTGGGAGCTGGCTCACTGACACTAGCAGGGTGGGATGTGTGGCCCTGCGTCTCTGGGCTGTAAGTCCTCTCTGAGGTCTTGCCTTCCTCCCTCTCTTAGGCGCAGAGTCCTGAAGTGCGATTTCAACAGCAGCTGGAGCAGCTGAACGCCATGGGCTTCATCAACCGTGAGGCCAACCTCCAGGCCCTCATCGCCACTGGTGGAGACATCAATGCGGCTATTGAGAGACTGCTGGGCTCCCAGCCTTCCTAAACTCAGCGGCGCTGTCCCACCGATGCACCCACACATACCCGCACGCACAGGGGGATCTTTCAAGGCAACCCACCGTCATTGTCATGCCCTCTGACAGCTGTCCATGTATTTAAAACACAAAGAGAGATGCAGCTTAGCCCTGACATTCCTCCTAAGTTAAGATTTCATGTTGAAATGTTCTTTAACTGGCTTGTACGTGGATTCCAGTTCTCATCAAGTGGCCACAGAGAGTTCAGATGTGTATTTTTCTTAAATATGCCCTGTCTCAGACACTCTTCTCTCTCTCTAGATGGTAGAGGCGATTTACTTCTAGTGACTTACCTGAATGATTGTGTTTTGAGTAGCTTGATTTTTAACTGTACATTCTTCCCTCCCTACCCATTCTTCAGGCAAATATTTAAACTTAAGCAAAGTTTGTTCCCCCTCCCCCTCCCCACCCCCAGCATCTTATCAGGAACGGATCAAAAGAGAAATTGAAGTGACTTGCAGTTGCTGATGTAATTTGTCTTCGTCCTTCCATCTGAAACTCTGAGCCTGGAGTTCCTTTTACGCTGAGGCCCCTTCCGCTTCTCTCTAGCGGCTTTTAGAGTAGATTGCACTGGTTTTCTGGCCCCTTTTCTGCTGAGTGAGTGGTGTGAAGGAGCCTTGATGTAGTTGAGAACCAAGGTCACCTTGGCCTCAGAATTGAGCCCTAGTTTGGGCAGATATTGGAGAAGCGGCGAGGGGCCTGAGCAGTGTGGGTCTCCTGTGCCACTGTGGGGCGGGGGGTGAGGGGCAGAGGCTCTGGCCCTTGTGGGTGCTGTGACCTGGGAATTTTTTTTTCCTTTTGAAAGTTTTTAAAAACACAACACAACTGAACAAGGATCTCTCTCCCTGCTGGAAGTGTTGGGAGTCCTCCTCCCTCTTTGTACAAGCCCTCCTTCTCTCCTCTGGGGGCACGCAGACTTCCCCCCCCACCCTGTGACCAGTGGGGCAGTTTCCCGCCTCTGCGGTGATGTAATTTGCATACCATTTTTATCAAAAAAAAGAAGAAAAAAAAAGGAAATAAATACGCACAACCATCTGTCTGCCCTTGGTTCTCTGTATCTTCCTGGAGTCCCTCCAGCGCAGCCTAGGGCTGGTCAGCTTGGGCAGAGCACTGCACAGCCCCTCTCCTGCCTTTCTGGGCCCTTTGCCTGCAGAAACCCAGAGGCCGTAGTCTGAAGGCATTCAAATTGCCTCTGGGTGGGTGTTGACTCTGAAGTGTGTAACGACAACTATTTTAATTAGAGGTGGTTTTAGCTGTTGTGCTGCTGATGTCTTCAACAGAAACATCTGGCCAGTGTGCCTATATCCCGGTAAACCTGACTTGCCCAGCTGTGAGTGCTAGTCTAGTTCCCTCCCCAGGTAAGCTGTGCTGGTGTGAATCACGTGGACACAAAATCAGTGCCAGTATGGGTCGTGTAGCCCCAGTGCTGTGAAGACTCTGGTGCCCTGAAATCTCTGCTGCCCATAAACATAGGCCAAGATTGTGGCAGACTCGAGCCCAGTTTTGCATGGCCACAGACAGCTTATTAAATGGCAATCTGCTAGTGACCTTTCTCATGGTGAGAGAGAACATGCTAAAGATTCGGGGCCTGTCATTTCTTTTGCTCCTTTATAACTGCCAATAGCAGCCTAAACGCTGCTTAATTTCCACCAATAACTGTGCTGGGGGGAAGAAAGGGTGGTTAGGAGGCGGTTGGAGATTGAACAAAGGCTTCTTTTCTCCAAAATGTCAATTCCTCACTGGAGTTAAGTAGAACATGGCCATTGAAACAGAGCTGAGGTCAGGCTGATTCTCCTGAAAAAGGTGTTTTCACACAGAGAGTGTAATCTAGGCAATGGATCTCAGCCTAAAACCCACTGGAGACGAGGCACGGGCAGTCTTTGATCTCGTGTAGCTTGTCGGATTAGCCCCCCTCCCCTTCCTCTGGTTACTCAAGTGATTAGATGGTGATGTTTAAAAATTTTTTTTAGTGACGATGACAGTCTCCAGCTCCTTTCCTTTTTCATCTGCACCATTTTCACTCCTTGGACTGTCACTTCTTCACTAGCTTTCCCAGCTGTCAGTCTTTGAAATGAGACAAAACCTGAATCTTTTAACGGTTGAAAAAAAGGAAGGTGGGGGCGGGGTGGAGAAAAACTCACTGCAGAAAAAGAAAGGGAAAAATATCAAAGCAAAAAAGTTGCTGTTTTTAATTCATGGCAAAGTGGAAATTGACTCAAGACTTGCAGGTCACCTTTAAAAAAACGGGGGTGATTCTTAGAGGATGGGTCTTTTGTACCCTGCAGTGCAGTAGGGTGGGTGTCTGTGAGTGGTGTGGAAAATACAAATTCCTTTTGTTTTGTTCTCCCACCCTCCCCCTTTCAGTGCTGATCCTCTGGGCTGAGCGATGAGATACAGGCTGAGTGGCCATCAGTCAGCAGGCCCATTGTCTCCAGGCGTGATACTTCAGCCCGTCCTTGCACACACGGCTGGCATCTGGCGTTGGCTTGACGGAGTCTCAGGATGCCGCAGAAGCAGATGTGAGCTGAAAGTCACAGCTGCTTCCCTCCTGCACCACGCTTTGTGCCGCTTCTGTCCCAGAGGCAACGGCTCAGTCCAGACTTTCTTTGCTGTTGTCATGGGTTTATATCTACCTCATAACTCACATCCCCTAGGCTTTGGGCTTCCCAAACTGCATTGCATCCTCCTGGCAGCACTGGTGTGGGAAAGGCACTTTTTATGGCTCTGATGACAACGGTGCAAGGGCTCCGGGGTCCATGGCTGAGCTACAGCACGGTCACCTTCAGATTAGGAATAGGGGGGATGTGTTTTCATTCAGCCATCAGATGGCGCTGCCTTCCATGGTGGAGGTTGGACAGTCCCTGGTAAACAGCAGAGACAAAGCAGGAGCTTGAGCTGAGCAGAAGCAGTTTGTAGGTAGAGCCCGCCAGGGAAATCTTTTTTTTTTTCCCTTCCTGTGAAAAAACTTGGGCAAATTCCATTTTCTTTGCCGTCTTTTACAAAAGCCTGAAACGTTTCATCAAAAGCCAACGTTTCCTGCAGAAATTTGGACAAAAAGCCCTTTTCTGGGGGCAGGGGAGGCAAATGAGCTTTGCTATGTGCAGCTTTTAACTATACCTTTCCTCGTGTGGGTGGAAGTTGGTTTGTCTCCCCCCCCCTCCCCCCCTCGTTAAATGCCTTGTGTATACAAATGACTACAATGCATGTCTTGTCCGTGAGGGCTCAGTATGCACACCCCATTCAATCCTTGATGCTTCTTTGCACACGGAAGCAGCAAACATCATTTTCCTGTCTCACCCTGACGGTAAAATCTGCTATCACAACTGCTTGACGCCATCGTTCACCCACTGCTGGCTCCACATCCCAGCTGCTGAAATAAAGATAACAGGGAGCCGGCTATCTCCGCCTGCAGCCCCTGTTCACGTCCGATTATTCATCTACTGTCTCTCCGGCTTCAGCAGGGTAATTTTGGCAGAGCTGCCATCCTCTGCATCTTGCAGTCCAGCAGGTGCTTTTTATTTGTTCAACATAATGCCCTGCTGTCCCCTCCACCAGTGTGTTTTTGATAGTTGCCTTGAAGCATCTGTAGCACCTCCAGCAGCACCTGGCTGCCTTCAATCCTGGGCTGGTGCATGCTTTTCAGGTGAGCATGGAATAGGTGGGGTCCCTGGGGACTGAAGGTCTTGACCATTTTACACTAAGAAGACCCCTGCGTGTTTTCCCCAGCTTTAAGGCCCCTTTACAGTGCCAGGATGTGAGTCTAAGTGTCCACAGAGTGGGGGAAGCAGGCCTGGCCCCCACTTGCTTGCATATCTGAGATGAAAGGGGATTGGGGCTCTTGTTCCAGTGAGGTCTGCATCTACTTCCCCTATGAACTAGCCTAAACTAAGCTGCTGGAAGCAGGGTAGAGAATACCCTGAAGCCCAGTCCTGCTTTGCCCTGTTCTGGTCACCAGGATCACACTTCTGTGTGTTTTCCCAGCGGAGCAAGAGCCATTGAAATGCATCTTCCTGGTTCTCACTGACAATCAGGGAAGGGCCGATCTTGCAGGTTGAGCGTGTGGCCCAGCCCTCCATCAACCGAGGCTTGCAAGGAGCCAGCTTTGAGCAGCAGGTAAGGCAGCTTTTTAGCCAAACTAATCCCACCTGAGAAGCAGGATCAGCTGTTCCTCCTTAATCCTCAGGGTGCCAGGCTGAAGCCTTTTTAAGAGCACAATTAAGCTCTCTCAGGTGTGCTGTTTTTCTGGTTCTCCTTCCCTTAGGAATTGCTCTGAGCTGCTGCTTGTGCCTTGCTCTCTCTTATTGGCGGGGCTTTAATATTAGTGCCCATCACCCCCCGAGCAGAGAAAACTTGTTGCCTTAGAGAATTTCCTTGGTACGTGGGGCATGTAGTAGGAACATGGGGAAGGCTCCTCTGATCACATCTCTACTTTGCTTTACCCCAGCTAGCTACCCTAGAAGTCAGTGCAGCTAGGTGGAGTTGCACCCAGGGAGAAAGGAGTTGGCCAGCTGTTTCTGATCATGGCTAATGCCACCTGGACCACAGAGATAGGAAAAGCAGGACTGCGCTGAGATGCATGCAGGTGAGCTGCTTTCTGGAGAGCGAGGAGATTCTGGATTAAGTTTCATTTGAGCTGTCTCACCGGCTGTTCTGCTGTAAATGAAACTTTTTGTTTAGTTTCCAATTTAAGTATTTTCCTTAGGGCTGGCTGAAAAGACACCCCCCTCTCTTTGGGGGGGGGGGATAGACTCCTCTCCATGCTCCCCCAGATCCTGGCTATTTTCCATTGGAAGCAGAACTAGATGGGTTTTTCCTACTGATTTTGTTTCAACAAAAGCACTAAATAAACCCCAACATCTCTAACCCACCCCCTTCCTACACCCACACATCATCATTGCTGTTACTAATGGTTTTCTGGTGTCAGTTCATCTAATGGAGAGTCTATCCCTCTGTATCTAAAAGGAAAGCTCTTAAGAAAGGTTCCCTTTCAAGCAAGCACTGTAGCTCTGCTTTCAGGCTTTGTTGGTTTTATGACATGAGTGCAGGGAGACGCAGGCCTGCGGTGCTGCAGGGTGTGGCTGAGCCTGTGCGGCTAGTTTTTGAACTTTGAATTTTTGTGACCTCTTCTGCCCTCGGGTGAGAACTAGGGAAGACCTGGGCCTTGCAAGGGCCTCTATGAGGGGGACAAGGGGATAAAAAGACCAACCTCCAGCCCCCCATCTGTTGTGTGACCAAAGACAACAGACTATTTTAGTTAGCCTAGCTTCTAAAGAACATCTAAACTGAGTTACCGGTCCAGTGCAACCCCATGCTGGCATGATCTAGCACACAGGGCCATGGTATCCAGCCTGCAGGGCTGGAAATTAGGCTGGATAATGGATTCGTAGACTGTTAGGGGCTGGAAGGGACATCACAGATCATCGGGTCCAGCCCTCCCACTCTAGGCAGGAAGACTATGTAGGAAGACTACTAGGCAGGAATAATATGTAATATAATGTATAATATAATATGATATAATGTACAGTATGATATGAAATATAAGACTACTAGGCAGGAATATGTTTCAGTGACTCGGATCTGGCAGTGGGCTGGAAGTTGAGACCCAACGGGCTACGCCCTTGGTTTCTGTGGCTGCTTGCGGCTCTCAGTTCCACTAATTGCACATTTCTATCGCTAACAAAAAAGAACGATAGAGGTTCACCTTGTCTCTGCTTCATCCTGGGGCAGTTGGTGGTGATAGCCAGGTGCTGGGGACTGGCCCTGGGGCTGTGAGGAGACTGGGATTTGTTGTTCGCTTCCTTGACACCAGAAACAACAAAATCACAAGTCTTCCAGACCGACCCAGGCACGAGCGGCACGAAGATCTGGAAAGAGGTGTGTGTCCCCTCATTGAGGATCTCACTGACTTGCTCAGATCCAGGAGGCCCTGTTAATAAGCTAAAAGAGAGGCAGAAAATGATCTCCATGTCCCACAGGTTGCTGGTATTCATGGTACATGCTCCTGTCGTATTATTTTGGGGCTGGATTCTGCATGC